CCAATGGTATCCTGGCTTGTGTCAGCAATAGGGTGGCCAGCAGGGACAGGGAAGGGATCTTAGGCACTGGTGAGGCCGCACCTCGATGACTGTGTTCAGTTTTGGGCCCCTCATTACAAAAAGGACATTGAATGACTCGAGCATGTCCAGAGAAGGGCAACGGAGCTGGTGCAGGGTCTGGAGCACATGTTGCACGAGGAACAGCTGAGGGAACTGGGGTTGTTTAGTCTGGAGAAGAGGAGGCTGAGGAGAGAACTCATTGCCCTCTACAGCTACCTGAAAGGAGGGTGCAGAGAACTGAGGATGAGTCTCTTTAACCAAGTAATAAGCAACAGGACAAGAGGTAATGGTCTCAAATTGCGCCAGGGAAGGTTTGGACTAGATATCAGGAAGCATTTCTTTACAGGACGGGTTGTTAGGCATTGGAATGGGCTGCCCAGGGAGGTGGTGGAGTCCCCATCCCTGGAGGTATTTAAGAGTAGGGTCAACATAGCGCTGAGGGATATGGTGTAGTTGGGAACCGTCAGTGTTAGGTTAATGGTTAGACTAGATGATCTTCAAGGTCTTTTCCAACTCAGACGATTCTGCAATTCACATGGCCTCTCCCCTCCAACATTAATGAGCCCCAGAGGTAGATCAGTCCATTTTGTCCTTCCCAAAAAAACATCAGAGAAAAGCAAGCCTTCTAAACATACACAGGTTCAGAGGTGAGAAAGACCGTGGACCCCAGAGTGAGAAATGAAGTGTACTGGTGATGGGGGGGCCATCATCCAGGAATAGGAAAGAAAAGCTGCAAACTCTCATGTTGTGAAATGAAGTCCAATAAGCCAGTAACAGCAAATCAGCTGTTGGAGGGGCAGAACAAGGGTTTGCACAAGCCCTATCCGCACTCACTTCCCCTAGCCCTGCTAAGTTTTTGACAAAAGTCTTCACTGTGTTTTGGCACTTGGTGATACTGCAAATTCAGGGTGTCGCCACCATGGGAGATTTAACTGATACTGCCCATGAGGATTTGGAAAATCTGAACTACAAATAAATTGGTCAAAGAAATGAATACAAGGATAACTTTTTGACAGTTTAAAAAAATAAACATTACAAAGACTCAGATCTTTCAGCACTGTCTCAAAGCCAAGATCATCTATATTAGTAGAGCCTTTAAAAAAAAAAAAAAAGCAACATAAAGTAGTAATTAATTTTCCAATTCTAAACTACCAGCAAGTGAGTTGCCTCTTACCTGCTAAAAGAATAGCTGAAAAATCCAATACTTTGGCTGCACTTTGAAATACTTTAATTTTTTAGTTAGCTTCACATGCAGCTTGTCAAGTTGGGAAGGTTCATTTTGGTCATGAATGTAATCTAAACATGAAGGAGAGTCAGCCACATCATAGAGTATTGGTACCTTACTGTTGAAATATCACTGAAGTCACTAGCCACAACATGGTTAGTGTGCTTTTGGCAGGTAGTATACTTTTGAAACAGCTTTATCACTTAAAAGCTAAAGTATTTCAATGAGCTACACAAATTACCTTCCACTACCTCCGAGAGAAAAAGAACCTCAGCAAAACCAGCAAAACACAGCTACCTATTTAAATGTAATATTCATGTAGTGATTTACAGGATCTTGCCAATGTAAGAATCCTTTTTTTTCCACAAACAACAGAGTATTGTTTTCCAGCTGAGTTGCACATGGCTAATAAACACCATAAATCTGACAAAGCTATCAAATAGCACGCAGCAGACCTGCTCTACCAAGAGACTGCCATATAAGCCAGCTCCCTCACTGAGGAACAAAGCAAACAACACCAATTTACTCTGGGATGCAACTCCATGCTCAGCCCAGCCCTAGAAAAGAACACAATTTGCAAATGGGATCTCCAACCTAGACAAGATCCCTTTTTGTCTTTCAAGATGTGTTTTCTGATTTGAGGGTTGTTACATTAAAAAAAAAAGTCGGCCTCCTCTGCATTAGAGAAGATGCCAATTATGAATTCAAACAGATTGCCATTTTCCTCCTGTAAGCAAAGCACTTCTACCAACATTAGGAGAATCATAAATATAGAAAAAGCCACAAAAGTACGGATCAGCTAGTCCAATGATAAGATCATAGAAACACGCCCTATTGCCCTAGGGAAAAAAAGATATCACATTCCACTAATGACCTGGAATGTAATAGGGAAAAATGACACCAGAGAAAGAGACTAGCAACAAAAAGTTCAGTTGCTGAAGCCCATCACTTCTTATCTTCCCTCCCTCACTCCAAATAGTAAAATCAAGAAGATATCCAAGACATTCAATATCAGTCCACACAGAAATCTGACACCAAAAAGCAACACAGAAACTTCACCAAACCCCAAGACAACAAGGGAAGTCTGTCTTTTTTTCCTGTTCCCTGGAGAGATCTCACTTCCGTCCATGTCCTTTAAGTCCATTACTGCCTCATTCTGTTTTCCATTTAAGACTATCACCTCATAGAAAGAGAGGAAGAAAAAGTATGTAAAAGCATGGATTTTTTTTTTTTCTAGGTCATGAAAATAAGAGCTAGCTTTTTTAAAAAAATAGGTACAGATGAAATTATTAAAAAACTCAACTTTTCTACAATATACTTTTGTTTACAAATGAGAGATTTAACAAGCTGTGGGCACAATAGCTTAGCAAGACATCTTTCATGTTAGCTACTTGCATTATTTACCAAACAAGCTTCCCTTTGTAGCAGTATCACATAACAGACTAACTAGATTTCTATGTCTAACTTAGCATAACACAAATACAACACACCTCTGATTTATATTACTACATAGATCTGCACAACAGATTTCACACTTTCCTAAGCTAGCCTTTATAAAAGGCTTTTTGGGCCCCACAATACCCTTTCAATTAATTATCTTTATTGTCTTATAACTAAGTTACAAAATTCGGGTCAGGAATTACTTCAACAAAACTGTGTCTGCCTATGATCATTATCATGTATACTGTTGGTACGCTAAGTCTAAATTTGTTTTAAGAATTCACCCACTTTGCATATAGTCACTCTGCACTTATTAACAAGCACACGCTGTGAATGTCCAACTCTGCTTCCACATCCGTGAGTGTTTCAGTTTTGTCCCATAAGCTAATCAAATTGAACAGGGAAGGCACACCAGTTCATAGGACAAAACATACACCAAGATTTTTTATAAGCTTCTATAGATGTCCTGGCATAATGTCACCTTAAATACTTTAAAACTTATAAAAATATAAAAACATATAAAAATTAATTTGGGATCATGTAACAACAAATACACAGATGCTTCTTTTCCCCCTCCTAAGTCATATGGCATTTGTTAGCAAAAAAGATAACTAAATCAGTTCTCATTGGTGGTCTCTAGCAGACTTTTTAGACATCTCTCTAAAAAAACAAAGTATCTGAATGCTAGCTTATACAGACTTGTACAAATGCTTCTTTTAAGAGAAGTTAAATTACCTTATCTGAAACATGAATTAGGTCATAATGAAGAAGCCTTTCCACAACTAAGTCAATCTTGCTAAGAGGCAAGATTGACTTTTCCGAAGTATTAAACACAAGTCACAGCATGAAATAGTCTGAGTTCTGTCATCACACAGACACTATCCACATTAAAAGAAGTCAGCAAGTTAATTAAGTACAAGGGCAAGCCATTACATGCACATATCGAGGAAGGAAGCGCTATCTGCAAGCAGGTCCTAAAGCACACCGTCTGTTTATGAATACCTGCCGTTCCTCAAAGGTAAAGAAATACTGCATCTCAAAAGCAGGTTTTTTTTCCTCCTCTTTCATATGCCTTCAACTTCACAAAACATTGTAGATCCAGCACCCACTCCAACTGAAAAGCTTGCTTTTTTTGTTTGATCTCCTGACTAACAATTTGTTTAACAGCATTTTGTTCTCCAAATTCCTTTAGAAATGTTCAAAGTGTCCATCCAGAATACTTCAACAGATATTGCCAGCAGAGCTGAACAACTTCCACAAATAAAATAACATTCTGCCAGCATAGCTAGATCTACACAAGGGTATAAAAAAAAATAACCACAGAATCACAGTTTCATATCACAATGAGATTTGGTACTACTACCTTTGGCACATTTCTAAAGCATACATACTTGTTTACAGTACCATTAAAAATTACCTATTAGCATGACTGGAAATGCCATATACTACACTGGATCAGAAAGAAAGTTATGGTCCACTATTAAGGAGAAAAGCACTTTTAGTAAGGCATATCACTAAGAATATAAAAATCTATTATCAAAGAGTTTTCTGGCAAAATCTGTTCACAATAAATCCCAAATAGGCCCAGACTGGGAGGAAAAAAAACAAAGGAGGATTAGAAGAAATTGCGTATCATCAATAGGGCAATCAACCCGCAAAGGGTGGCTAGCCAAGCATTTTGCAAACAGTAAGTAGCAAAAACATTTTGACTACAGAGGGACATTTGCTATTATCATATAAATAAAATGGAAAACGCTTTCACTAGAAACTGCACACCTGACACCATTCATGCATGGCATATTAAAAAGTAATAACAAAGCCTTATACCTAGGTAATGTTTATCCTTGTCCTATCTTAAGGCAGACCTGCAAGGCCCAGGTTTTATTTGCCCTAATAAACATCTCAAGTGTTTCAGGCCATGCACTGTCCACCACATTCATGGTTCTCAGAAGCACAGGGTTAGTGTATAAGTAAGAGGAAATCTTGCTAAGCCTTTAGTAATTTTACACTCCGAGCTCCAGAAGATACTTGAAGATCACCTCAACTGCATGGAAGGACTAACTGAACAGATTCCTTCTCTTCTTATACATTATTCCTTTCCAAAATGCCTGTTGGTATATTTCCATAAAAGTTTGATCAATAAGAATATAAAAAATTATTTAGATGCACTTGCCAGACAAGTCTGACAAGAAACGCCCAAACTGGTTAGTCTAAAAGTGTGTGACTATTATTCTAAAAATAAATGTAATGGCTGCCACTGCTCGGGTATACTTACCAATAAAGCACATGGGGAAACTGGCTGGTAATCAAAGACAAGGCTGTTGGCAGAGCGGTCTGGACTTGCTAGCAACGGCAGCACAGTTCAGGTGCCCTTTAACCACACAGAGAAAATTCATTATGTGACAGAGTAGGAGAGGCAATACAATGATTATGAGTCATACACTTAACCATATGCTTTATCAATACACTTCATGATATTAGAGTTACTAACTAGTGACAGCACAAAACAGTGATGGGAGCATAGTCCATATCTTTGGGGCATTTTTTCTTTCACTGATTTAGCACTTCCAAAAAAATTCATGTGCATTTTGAAATACAAAACGTACACCTAAAACTATGCAATGCCACCAGCATTATAACACTTCACACAAGTAAGCTGATTGCAGATGCTTTTTGAATCCCCAAAACACTTTACAGGCTCCTAGATAAGTTTTTGCTTGAGCAGACAAACAGCTGTTATTACCAAGTTTGCAGTCACATCATCACCATTCCTAACTCACTCCATCAGCCTATGGTAAAAGATACAGTGACTGTTAAGTTTAGGTCTATGCAAAACAAATTTTCAGAAGTGTTGCAAGATAATGCCTCAAATATTTCTGCATGAAATCTAAAACTAAGAAGTTTTTCCCAAGTTCCCAGATTTGCAAACCGAGCTAGGGATTCAAGATAGATTTGAGCCTGCACTCTAATACCAGAAATCAGCACTCCACAAGCAGTTATAACCAAATGGACAACTGATCCACTTAATTGATGTCAGCTGGTTTATGGAAACTCTGATGTTGTACTTGCCAGTCATCTCTGCCACTAATTGCTTTTTTTCATTCATTTCTCTGCCATGACATCAGCACAAGACTTTGTATGGCTGAAGAATAAATAGTTGGGGGGAACTATCAAACTAAAAAATAAAGCAAGGAAGGAAAAAAAAAAAAAAAAGCTTAATCTCTTAGCTAAATTCCCTGATGCAGTTCACTCTATTAGTGTTTCTGCCAAAACAGTGTGGGAAGTGAGCAGTCAATAAAAAAAGCTGCCTTGCTCCATGTGGGGTCACAACCTAATTCAATTACAAACCAATTTAAATTAGTTAGAACTGTGGAGGACCTCAACTTTATCAAGCAACATTAGTTAACAGCAATTAGAAGATCAAACTAACAACTTGGCAATAAAACAAGTGGACAAACACAAGCCTTTAAAGAGTTATAAATTTGAGTTTTACATGGAACTAACAAGTCACAAGTCCACATGTGCTTACATGCCTCTTCAGATATAAAATCATATGAAACTTACAAAGAAAGACTTAGTAAATTGAGACTTTCAGCTTTTCATTGGAGGCTTCTGCCTGCCTATACATTCATCTGAAAAGACTGTAACACAGCAGAAAATGTGTTTGTCCTGCTTATTCACTCATTGGTCCAAATCCAGCCACACTGTGACATTATACCATTTATTCTAAATCTAAATGAAAATATATACTATAATTTAGACAATTATCCCAAACCCTGGGCACCTTAATAATTTGATAAAAGCAATCCAATCTACAAACTGCATTAAGATCACTTTTTCAGGATCTCTGCCAGTTTTATCTAGCCACTATTATCTAAGAAATACACCTTCAACTTTTAAAGAAGATCAATATTCTTCTTCCACAGCACGATCAATCTAAGCCCATCTCAATGAGGAGAGCAAATTCCATAGTCTCAAAGCTGTCCCTTAATGAATAATGAGGGAGGCACAAATCAAACAGCTTTTAATGTCAAACTATGACAGTGGTCAGGGAGTTGATAGCCTGTCCTAGGGCACTTCAGACTTAATTGATTGCTGCCAATACCATAGCTCCATTAAAGAGAAAAAGAGGTAACACATACATATCCCAAAGCATCAGTGCTGCTGACTCCTACAGAGACTGCTCCAAAGCCAGCAAAACCTTCAGCATCACATTTTGCCTCCAAATTGTTTTTAAATGGAGTTTCAGCATGGAAGCCAGCATATCTTAAGCTTCTCCTCTGCAGCGCCTGTTACACTCTTCTCTATCAGTCTGAGTGCTTCAGCCCTTGGACATACAGCACAAGCAGTGTAATTGAAGTGACTCACGAGCTCCAAGGAATTACTAAATTGGATCAACCACTTTTCGGCAGAGGACCCCATTAACAATCAGTCTTCCTCTTTGGTATTTCTGCTTATCCACAGCCATGCTGTTTGTGCTTCCTTAACTGACCCAGGCTCTCCCCAAGTTACGTTTCATTACTTGTACTAGGCACTGCTATAACAATCTAAAACCAAGGGGATGATGGGCAGAGACAACTTCCAACCAAATTCTAGTGAGCTCTGATCAGGTTAGAAGGTCTCATTCTTCTAGTCAAAGATTTTAAAAACTGATTTTACTGTTTCAATATTACTCCTAACAACAACAATTAATAAACTCGAGTCACAGTAGGGCACTAAGACTTCTACCTAATAGCAAACGCATTCCTTCAGTTAAGAAGGCTGATAATTACATCCACATCATCATGTATATTTTATCTGGATTGAACTTCAGCCAGCTTGTTCTAATCCATGTTCAAATCTCAACTACATGCTGATGAGGCACTGAGCTACATTAACTGTTGTGGTCACACTTGCAATATATGGGGAGACTTACAGTCTCCCAGATAGACCAGAGAAAATAGGACAGGCACATGCCTCTCCCAGTTCACTTGCAACCTAGAGCTTACAATGCCTGTGAAACGTATTCATATAAATGAAATTCTGAAACAGCCAGGGAGAATAGGCCACAAGTCCAACACTTCAAAGAAACAGAATAACTGTTTCTAAGAGTTTGCACCAAGATGAATCCTACCATAGGAGACCGCAAGCATTGTCTGCCTCCAAAAGAAAAAAAGGGGAGGGCTTCCTTTTAACCATCTAACAGCAACAGATGCATTGCGCTCTCAAATTTGGCATCAAATCAACTCCCATGTTACAGGCTTGATCTTTAACAAATGAGGCTGCTCTTTACCACTAAGAAATAGGCAGGTTTTTAAACCACAACCATGATGTATACAGGGGTCTGACAAGACCGTTTCTTGATATTCTGACCATGTAGCTCTTGAGCTTCTCAGTGTCAGGCAGAGAGGTGTGCTGCAGCACACCCAGAGATTTTCTTGGGCAGAAAACCTCGACTTATTGATGCACTTGACAGTCAAAAAGCCAAAACACAGCCTGACTGGCGCAGCCCTACGGAAGTTAGGGCAAAAGCTTGCTGGACCTGCTAGGTATGCTGCTTTTTTTTTCCCCAGCATTATTGCCTGCAGTTCTACCTAAATTGTCATTCTTGTAGTTGGGACTGTAAAACACAGGCAGGGAAAAGGGAAACACACAGGAAAAAGGAATTCTAGCCTTACTTACGGAAAGACACACAACAATCATGGAGGCTGTCACTTCTCTGCACTGAAATTACAGCCACGGAAAAAGTTACCCTGACAATAAAGCCGGGATAGTGCGGCTCCCAAGAGCATTCTCAGGGCATCTCCATGTATTCAAGGAAGACACCATTTGTGTCATTTGACAGCCTACAACCCATCTGGAAGCCTGTAAGGAGTTCTGAAAATACCAGCTGTGAGTATATTCAAGAGTAGCACACCTCAGAACAGTGAGCCCAAGAGAATAAACATTAGCCTTTTATGCATGTGAGGAATATTGTATTTTTAAATACTCAGTACTAGCCCACTAGATTTCCCAGTTTTATTTTGCTCTATGGTAAAATGCAATGAATGGGTCAGTTTTTCTAGACAAACTCTCCTATAAACTGAAACACAGACTGGAAACAGTCTCCCTCTTCCACAGCCAGCCAGCAGGTTCAATGACCATCATTTACACCATGCTAACTTGTGCAAGCCACAGCAAGAAGCTCCAATGTTCAGAACATACCATGTTGCTGAATACATCTTCACCTTCTCTAACTTTGGGCTACCTTCTCCTCCACCTTCCCCTTCCCTCCTCCCCTCTTGCTTTACAGAGTTCCTCCTGACTGCACAAAGCTGCTGCCACCAGCATAGCCCAGCGACTGGGTGGCCACTGCAGCACCAAGAGTTGCAAGCTTTTTGACACCCCACAACTGCCTTGCTCCAGCTTGTATTTCAGATGTCCCCTTCCTGCTTGGCAGAATACTGGGTGGAATCAGCTTGCCCACAAGAAGGATTCCAATGCCATTTTCCCTGGAGTCCTAGAATGTCTTTAAGGATCTCTGTAAAGGAAAAAGTTGCAGTCACACATCTGCACATTCTAGGGGACTAAGCATACAGAACATCTACTGGAAACACCCAACCAGGTGTTAAGACTCCCTTGCTTCAGCAGTTTAAGGTGATTACTTTTTTCATTACTTCATTACTTTTTATTCATAAACTGACAAAACATGAAGCCCATGTGAAATTCATGCAGTAAATGCTATGCACACACAGATATTAAAAACTGTAAAACACACAAATCAAAAATATACCATGCCTTTGGGGTCTTACATTTCAACAAAACGCAAACAGTTACACTCCCCACCCCTAAAGGAAGTTTTCAACTCAGCTTTATTTACTGAATGAAAGGAGGGGCCCAAATGATTCAGCTTCAAGCAAATATAAAGGAAGATATTAATCCCTAATCTCAATGATAAAAAAATTAGGGGAAGACACTGTTTAAGATGGAGGTGTGTCTTTACCAATTCAAATCTCTTAATATTCAAAGACACATCAAGCAGAATATGAGCACACTAAAACCCCATTAGCTTTCTGAAGTCTTAAACACATTTATTACATACACAGCCAATTTTAAAAAATCAAAGTTTACACAAGTAGCTCCACTTAAAGTGTTAGCCCTGTATCTTCATTCTTGTTCACTGGTGCTGAGCAACATCAAAATGAATAAAATATCTGAACATTGGGATTTTCAACCTAACAGTCACAAGCAGGAAACAAGTGTGGAAGAGAAAAGATCTCTCAAAAAATTCTGCACAAAGACAGGTTTCTGAGAAAAAAAAAAAAAACAACAATCCAACAGTAAACAGGATAACCTCATGAAAAGGGTTGTGGGTTTTTCTTCCTTCATTAGACTAAGGAATCAAACATTTCTCACTGAAATCCAGCAAAATAAATTACAAGGTAGAATATTTCACGAGGGGGCTCACAAACTCCAAGCGACTGCTGTACATCTTCCACATGTATTTGGAAGTGACTGCCCGTCCCCCATCTCAGCCGTGCCACACTAGCATTTCAGTGCAGGACATCTCCAGCCTCGCTGAGAGGAGTATTTAACTGCAGACTAGGAGTGCTTCTTTACATACAGTCCAAACTGTAAATAAAGGTTTCGCCAGAGGGCACTCTTTCAATTCAAGTGACCTAGCTTCAGCAAACTTCTAGCAAGACTGCAGGCAACCCACATGCAGGGATGGATGCGCAGAGGCTGTGAGACCCAGGGATAGTTTTGCTTCTGCAAGAGAACTACCTTAATAAAAAACAACAAAACAAAAAAAAAAAAAACACAAACACACCAACAAAACACCACACAAAACCACCAAATATAAATGAAATTCAATTATTTATCCCAGAAACGTGAAATATTTTTCAGAGTAACCAAAGGCACTACTAGCAAAGATCACAAGCAATCACCAACTTCTGTACTATGTTACACTGTGGTACTTGATGGTACCAATTAACTCAGGCAGTTCTGGCACATGTGTGGATTGTACCAATTTACAGAAGGCCCTGCTCGTGCAGAGGTGCCTATGGAAGTCCTCTCGTTGTATCATCACAGATACTAATGTTACAGTAATACATGGAAAAAATGTATCTGTATTGTCAAGAGAAAGCTCTGGGAAACAATATATGTTTCTACTCCTCACTGTTCTGTATTTGATGTTGTTTTAAAAGGGCCAAAAATTAAACTATTTGCATGAAAATAATACAAAAGTATCAGTAGTGTCAGTAGCTTTTAATCTTTGGACCAGGTATTATTTCCTAATGGCCTGCTGAGACCTAATAAGATTTAAAAAAAAAAATAAAAATCAAACCAGTGAGTTGAAGTTCATTAAATAAAAACGTACACAACCATTGAAAAACACAATAGGTCTATGTACCAAGAAAGGTCACAAACCACTGTTTGATGTGAATAGAAAGTTAAGCCCATTTTGCTCAGAAACAAAGCACCACCACAACACTACTAAAATCAAGACAGCTGCAGAAGCAAGCAACGCTAAGAAAAAAACCCAAAAATATTCGTTATGCATCCTCTGACATCTTCCAGTCTTGAACCTCAAAAACTGCAGGCCTACAAAACATTTGACTGCCTGCCTATGCACTATCCCATTTGAAAAGAAATAGCCTCCACCTCTTCTAGTTACTCGTAGCAAAGCCCCCTAGTTTAGCATAGAAAGGGAAGAGGAGGGCAGGGGAATAAGACCCGTACAAAGGCACCTTTTGTCAGTAGAGGGATTGCTCAAACAGATAAACATGCCGACAGAATTTCACCAGGCCAGTAATCACTATTAAAAACACAGGGACGAGTTACTTCAAACTCTTTTTTATCATCACCACTCATCTTGGTTTAAAACATATCTACAGAACTATCTACAGAACTGCCTTTTCAGCATGTACTGCCTGGAAAAAATATTCCAAACGCTCCTGATGTTAAAGAAACATCATTTATTTGCCCATCCTCTAGAGCAGATCCCTGCCTACCACAACGCAACGCACTCCTGGTGCCCTGAACTTACCCAGTTCCAGATAAAAGAAACGCTACGTCATGTGGACACCCCGAATACCCCTCCCACCCCCCTGGTGCGCTCTGACCCGCCCCGGGGTCGCGCTTCCTCATGTAACTGGCGGGAAGGTGCCCCGGACCCCGGGGAGGGGCTGGCTGGAAGGCGGAACCTCACCACGCCTGTCTCTTAT